ACACTTACGGGAGCGAGGAGCGAACTTGTCATGTGGTTTGGGTAAAACAGTAGTGTAACATAAACTCCCAAAGACCCGTAAGTGATCATACTTTGGTGGAGTGCCATGCAAAACTTCATAGGGACACTGACCACCAAGGAGTGGAGTCGGTGTCCTGTTGATGAGGTGAGCAGCGGTCAAGATGCATTCTCCCCAAAGAGATATAGGTAAGTGACCATCAAAACGCAAAGCACGAGCCACGTTGAGGATGTGACGATGACGACGTTCAACGCGTCCATTTTGCTGTGGGGTGTAAGTGCATGATAATTGATGATGAATACCGTAGGATGAGAGAGCCTCTTGGACTACAGATGACAAAAATTCAGTCCCATTATCACTCTGAATTCGCTTAACAGATGCATCATATTGGGTGCGAACCAAGTGGAGAAACCGAAGTAAACATGTGGAAGTTTCAGTTTTATTGCGCATCAAAAAAATCCAAACATGTCTACTAAAATCATCGACTACAGTTAAAAAATAGCGGGCACCAGTTGTAGATGCCATATGATATGGCCCCCATATATCACAGTGAAGTAAATCAAAAGGATGTAAACAACGTTTATTATTAATAGGAAAAGGACTTCGTGGTTGTTTGGCTTTACAACAAACGTCACAAGGAGCCAAATTATTTGCATTGGAAATAAAAGGTAACAAAGATAAATAACGGGAAGATGGATGTCCTAGACGACGATGCCATAGTGCTGCAGAATCTGACGTACTGGCAACATGAGCAGAAGCTGATGATGCACACAATATATACACCCCTTCTCGTTCAACACCCGTTCCAATCGTCCTCTTCTGCTTTAGGTCCTGTATCAAACAAACAGAATTAACAAACAATGCCAAGCAAGACTGGCGCAGAAGCTGAGATACAGAAATCAAATTACAAGCCAACGAAGGGACATAAAGAACATTGGAGAGATGAAGAGAAGAGCCCAAAGTAATGCTGCCACATTGCGTAGCAATATCATGAACTCCATTTAGGCAGTCCCACAGAACAAGGAGAAATAGAATGCACATTGGATAGATAGGAGAGTGTGCCCGTCATGTGTTGGGATGCACCACTGTCGATGATCCAAGATGGGTGCAGGTAAAAGGGTGACTTAGAATCAGAAACCTTGAAGGTTTTAGGTGCGGAAGTCATGATGAAAAAAAAAAAAAAAAAAAAAAAAAAATGAAGGCTTGTTGATCGTCAAGCTCTTGATACCATAACAGAAGTTGCTGTCATTCGCAGCTTAATGATATATTAAATTGGGTCTATTATATAGACCAAGATTTACAATTGATCAGGAAATCAGCTAAACCTAAGGAACAGAAAGCATAAATCAAGCTAATCTATTTACATCAGGAAATCAGCTAAACTTAAGGAACAGAAAGCATAAATCAAGCTAATCTATTTACATCAGGAAATCAGCTAAAACTAAGGAACAGAAAGCATAAATCAAGCTAATCTATTTTAATATACAAGGTAACAAACCGTGATAGTTACAATCAGGATCCTAACAAATTAATGCTACTCTAATAGTATAAGTATGTTTATATATGTTTTAATAATATTTAAATAATCGTGTGGCTCAATGTTATTTGAATACTTGTAACAATATTTAAATACGTTTTTTTAAAGTTATATACATAATTTAAATAAAAAGTCGCATTATGTTTGTTTCACATGTTAATTGAATATTTTTAGTTCACGAAAAATATTTACAAATATTACTCTTTATTTTTTAATTTACAAAATAATTTTTTCTAGCCAGTCTTGATTACATTTTGATGAATTATTTTAAAGATATCATATACTAAGCAAATATTCTGTTTATTATCTTACATTTTATATATATTTCTAAAAATTTCGATGTGTCTTATACAATATTATCAGTATCAATAAAATAGAAATATACTATATTGGATGTTTTACTAAGATATATTTGTATCGTAAAGTATTTTTTTTCTAATTTATTAAGAATAAATACACTATGGTTGTTATTTCTAAAATAAAATAAAAATTGAAAGGAGATGAAAAGTCAGGAAAAATATATAAAAAGATTAAAAAAATCTCTTGACAAAAAAAAAAATAGTAAAAGAACTTTTAGTCACTTAAAAGTACATAGGTAGATCAGTTAGTAGAGGGTTGTTCTAATTTAATCAGTGATTTTGAATTCAAAACCCTGGAAACACAGTTATATTAAAAACTTAAATTGAAGAGTTTTGTTACTTATGTGGTTTTATCTGACTAATGATAAACTAATGAATAATAAAAAAAAAATAAGTAATAGAAATATAGATAATATATAGGTTGTCCCACTGTTTTAAATGTAATTTTTTTTTATACGGTGGTGAATGGTGTTCATGCCCCGACGAAAAGCTAGAAGAAAATTCAGCAGACCTATAGCTAGAAGAAGAAAACAGTAAACTGAAAAATGGGAAGGTCGTTTTCGTTTAAGATATGCGACAAGCTTGTGCTAGTGTGTTAAGCAAGAATAAGATTTGCCACAACACTTGGTAGGGGCAAAAACTTATTCTAGAAAACACGCAATCTTTAGAGGCATGTTTGGTACACAGTATAGAATAAGGCATGATAGTATAAGACCTGATATATAATATAAGGCTATATTATATAAGACCTGATTAAACTTTAATACTATCTAGCGTTTGACATGATATTGTATAAAATAATATATTGTATAAGATAATATCATTCAATGTTTGGTAATGCACTGTATAATACTAGATAGGATAAAAATAAATATTTTTGACAAGAATACCTTTTAATAATGAATTTATATAATTCTTCCTAATATATCAGATGATCTTAATTTTTATAGATATGTTGATCAGTGTGTCCAAAAAATATATTAATTTTATAAAAATAAAAATCTCCAATATTTTTTATTTTTTATTTTAATATATTAATATTAAAATAATATATTAATTCTTGAGAATTACATTTGTTAATACATCAACCCCGCCTAATTTTATCCTCTTATGCCTGATTAAGTTATACTTCATTTTGATGTATAAAGAGATCCTGATGTATAAGCTTATAATATACGATGATCACACCAAACAGCTAAAAATTTCATAACGTATAGTATAAGCTTATATTATCAGGTCTTATACATCACGCCAAAGAGACTTTAGTTTCAAATATTTCTCTTTATGTAGGCATGATATTTAAACATAACTTAAAAATAAATACAATTTTATTATGTTTCTATAATTTTATACATAGAAAGTAATAATTAAAATATTTGTAATAAGTTATCATTAACTAAGATACCATAATTAAATTAAAATTGTCAAATAATCAATAGTTGTGAGGATGGGTAGTCCACTATTGACTTGATAAAATAAAAGACAACACCCCCTGTTTTCTGTTGAAACCGACCAACCAACAAAAAGTACATTTAAGAAGGGCAGGTCATCGAACTTAAACCAATTTATGCATGGACTTCGCTCAACCACCACCATATTTGACAAACAACATTAACTGATGTGTGCCCCATTTATACACTTGTGAAGTTGTGACTTGTCCACTGTTTGATAAAGTTTATCATCAACACTTAGTAGTCTTGAGTTAGACGTTCTTCTAGATACACAATTATGTTAAATTGGCAGGAGAGCTTTGCCGTGGTTGTGATATTTTCCGACTCGACTGTGTTAGTAAATTAATCGATGAATTCAGTATTCTTCAACTCGATCGGATTAGTAGATTAATAGATGAATCCAATGTTATTAAACTTGGATCAATCATAGATTTGATTGAGATACTGAGTCATCAAATTGAGGTACACAATCAATTGATGACTGATTGAACCGTTTGAATTTAATTTATATAAAGATATATAATAAATGGATAATTATATTCTTATGTCACATGAACATATTTTTGTCTCATGCACACTCAACTTAAGGTGAGGCCCATCAAAGGAAAGAATAAAAAAAAAAAAGAACAACACAACTACCATGTGTATATAGGAGACAACAAAATTTTTCTGTCGCAGAAGACTAATATTGCCCATATTAAATATATAAATTGAAATAATATGCAATTAAAATAACATAGTTTCATGGTTAACATTTCACTTCCTTTTTCTTAGAAGCTAAGTTTAAACTTCATGAGTGTAATTGTGGTGAAATATTTTGTTTCAATTTTTAAGAACCAGTTCTAAAATAGTTAAAAATGAAATTTTATGTAAAAATGAAAAGGCATAAAAATTGTGAAATGTAAAATTTTAATATGATTTTTTTAATAAAAAATCATAAAAATGTAAAAGCGCTTGAAATATTAATAATTTTTTTGATAAAAAATAATAAAAACATAAAAAAAAATTATAATAATAAATTGAGATTTTAACTATATAATTAGCACCAGTTTGATTTTTCGATACAACTGGTCGAATCTACTTAAACCAGGATAAATCGATGGAAAATTTAAAAAATAAAATTATCATGAACCTCAAAATATACATCATTAGCTTAAACTTATACTGATTTTAAATTCATAGCAATTTCAAACTAAGACTATGGTATGCGTAAAAATGTAAATGTATCTAAGGTAAATGGTTAAAATTTAGGACTGATAAATATGTTGAGAGTATTCAAAAAAAAAAAAACTTCCTACCTTGTTTTCATGTTTATTAATTCTTTATTACAATGATATAGCTTAAAATACCAAAAAGATATTAATTGAAATTTGGTATTTATTATCACATATGGAGTTGACTTGAGAGAAAATTAATTAAATAAATATGGTTTAGTTTTCCAAAGACCAAGACGGCAATGTTATTTATGTGTCTCAGTTTTTCACTCAACGCTCAACAACTTTTGCATGATGAAGGCCAATAATATAACCGCCAGAACTTTGGCAGGGGTAAATTCGTAATTTGAAGTTGCAAAAATTACATTTAAAACCCAACGTTCCCTCTTCCTCCTCTCTCACACTCTCTCTCTGTCTGCAAAACGAGCTGCACAGCTGTCACACCGTAACAGAAAATGGCAGCGGCGAAACCGAAACGTAACTTCCCGCCGATAACCGAATGTAACGGAGCGACGTCGTCGTCGCAGCCGGAGTCCATCGCCGCAGACCTCGACGGCACGCTCCTCATCTCACGGAGCTCATTTCCGTACTTCATGCTCGTCGCCGTCGAAGCCGGAAGCCTCCTCCGCGGCCTCATCCTCCTCCTCTCCATCCCCTTCGTCATTGTCGCTTACCTTTTTATCTCAGAAGCTATCGGAATCCAGATCCTCATCTTTATCTCCTTCGCCGGTCTCAAAATCCGTGACATCGAACTCGCTTCACGCGCGGTGCTTCCAAGGTACTCACTCACTCGCTTACTCTCGACTAGATAATTCGGATTCTGGATTTGAATCGTTAGGTTTTTTTTCTGTTCTGAACTGCGAGTTTGTGTGTGCGTGCGTGTAGGTTTTATGCTGCGGACGTGAGGAGAGAGAGCTTCGAGGTGTTCGACCGGTGCAAGAGGAAGGTGGTGGTGACGGCGAACCCGACGGTGATGGTGGAACCGTTCGTGAGGGACTTTCTTGGCGGTGACAAGGTGCTGGGAACGGAGATCGAGGTGAACCCTAAGACCAAGAAGGCTACGGGATTCGTGAAGAAGCCTGGTGTTCTTGTGGGGAAGCTGAAGCGCTTGGCGATTTTGAAAGAGTTCGGTGAGGATTTGCCTGAAATTGGAATCGGAGATCGTAAAACTGACCACGATTTCATGTCTATTTGCAAGGTTTGGCTTCTCATAATTACTTATTTTCAAGTTTTATATATAGGATTTTGGTGATTTTGGTTATTGTTGAATCAGTTTGATATTAGTGATAAGTCATTTCCCTTATTGATTAGTAAGCATCATTATTACTATTTTAAACTATTAAGGAATGAAGAATTTGTTTCTGATAATATGTTATCAGTCCCTAATTAATGTAAATATTTTATAAATTACTAATCAAGTCATCATTAAGATGTTAAAATGTTGCAAAAATGTTAATATACAAATAAATTCACCAATTATTAAGAAAAAAATTCATAATATGTTTTTTAAGCCTTATTATTTTTAATGTAAAACTAACTCACATAATAGGTAATTTTCTTGAATATCTGTATGGAACAGTTGAAAAGCACATTGTACTGTTTTTTACTCGATTGAATTAGAATAAAAGTGGATTGGAAAATCGATCATAGAAGAATGATATGCGTAGGGTCATTCCTTAGAAACATTTCTTTATTTTTTTTAATTGCGCGCGAATTGTATGCTTTGATTGCGTGCCTGTTGTGTAATGCATGGTATAGTTGCACAAGTTAATTACAATATGTATATATATGATCATGCATTATGTATACTATTAATCCATTAATTAATTAATTTGGTTTCCGTCTTAGACAACATAATCAAATTAATGACAGTACGTAGTTGTGACATTTTCTTCCAAACTTTGCGTTGAAAAGCGTAATGACCTGTTTTGCTTCAGAGCAATTAATATATTCATATATTAGATTAGATTAGATAACTTAAGAAGTAATTGACTAATTAAAAAAAAAAGATGTGGGACTTGGCATGTGGAGTCCTTCATTTTTTTTTTTTTTGGACTTATGTGAATAATCAACGTATCATGCAAATCAACAATTTTCTGGGTTAAAGTGTGGGGCTGCTGAACCGTGGGCGCGCTTGATAGCCAAGGTAACGCAATGGTGTAGGATCAATAATTTAATAGCGTGTCTTTGGGGCATGAAAGCAGCAGCATTAACTTCTGCGGTTGAGTCGTGAATGCAATTTTTTTTTTCAACCAGGAATTGTAGTCCAAAACCCAACGGGACCCACCGTATTAACCATCCCCAACTAACTGCTTGCATATACTTTTTTTGTGGTCCATTCATACTTCATACTGTAAAGCAGGGTTTATTACGGTCGTGGTCCTTTCGTGTTTCATACTGTTTAGGTAGGAAGTTGCTACCTACAATTTTTTTTTTAATTAATGCAGTCATGGTTTGTGAACTCACATTCACGCACCCACCCACAAGCAAGTGCTTAGCGTACATGCAATTGACCCAAGAACTTAATCTCCAATGTGAGTTTGTACTAATGTGAAAGTAAGAACTTAATCTCCAAAGAAAAGGTAGATGTGACTATAAGTGATGCAATCTTTAACTTGCTTCGCCCTTCTTTAATTCATCAAACGAGTTCACAGCATCATATTACTATCATAATTGTTTTGGTTTATTCAATTTTCATTTATCATGGAGCTAATTTGTTTAAGGATAATACTTTTCTTATGTTGCGTAAGAAAAATACTATCTCACGTACTCACATTTTTTAAATGGGTTTTACAAAAAAAAAATTCCCTCCCACCTTCAATTTTTTTTCTCTATTATTGTTTGGATAGGAAATAATATTTTTCTTATTTAAAAAGTATTACCCTATGTTTATTGGATACAAACACTATTGTCTTTGGGTGAACGTTGATTCTTTTTAATCACAATGTTACTTTTACTTTTATTATATTTATCATGATACGCAATTGACGAGATAGTCTTATATATGATATGATGCAAAAAGTCCTATACTTCTAAATTATTATCTAATAATTAATAATAATGGTGATGAATAACAGGAAGGGTACATGGTGCCCCCCAGCCAATCAGCAAAACCAGTTCCACAAGACCGTCTCAAGAGCCGGCTCATCTTCCACGACGGCCGCTTCGTGCAGCGCCCAGACCCACTGAACGCCATAATCACCTTCACGTGGCTCCCCTTCGGCTTCATCCTCTCCATCATCAGGGTCTACTTCAACCTCCCTCTACCAGAACGCATTGTGCGCTACACCTACGAAATGCTGGGCATCAAGCTCGTCATCCGCGGCCACCGTCCACCGCCTCCGTCCCCGGGAACCCCCGGCAACCTATACGTCTGCAACCACCGCACCGCCCTCGACCCCATCATCATCGCCATTGCTCTAGGCCGCAAGGTCTCCTGCGTCACCTACAGCGTCAGCAAGCTCTCCCGCTTCCTCTCGCCGATCCCCGCCGTGGCCCTCACCCGCGACCGTGCGGCCGACGCAGCCCGCATCAAGGAGCTCCTCCAGAAGGGTGACCTCGTGGTGTGCCCGGAGGGCACCACGTGTCGTGAGCCATTCTTGCTGCGGTTCAGTGCTCTGTTCGCTGAACTAAGCGATAGGATCGTGCCCGTGGCTGTTGACTGCAAGCAGAACATGTTTTATGGGACCACCGTGCGTGGGGTCAAGTTCTGGGACCCTTACTTCTTCTTCATGAATCCTAGACCTGTTTACGAGGCTACCTTCCTTGACCGATTGCCGGAGACGATGTCGTGTAAGGCTGGGGGGAAGTCGTCCATTGAGGTGGCGAATCACGTGCAGAAGGTGTTGGGGGATGTGCTTGGGTTTGAATGCACCGGGTTGACTAGGAAAGATAAGTACATGTTGCTGGGAGGGAATGATGGGAAGGTGGAGTCCATGTACAGTGCCAAGAAATGAAATAATAAACATATGGAAGGAGATTCCACTCTCTTGTGGTTTGGAAGAATCTAGTGAGGGGTATTGTTGTGGTTGGATTGTTTGAGAGTTGGTTGATATAGAAAAAGGTTAGTATAAAATACCAATTGGTGTTTTAGGTGAACCCTCTGAGATTGGATTTTTATTATGAATTACTAATGATTTAAGTGTTTACAATGTTAATGCAAACTTTCTTTATGTGACTTTTTATTTTTTTGGGTTACTCATTCATTTAATGTCATTGGGATTAGTTAGCACTTAGCACCTTTAACCCTTGATTCGTCAATTCACTTTCAGCTTTTTTTGCCATGAATCCCATGATGGATGTCATACGTATCTGATTAGTTGTATTCACGCGCATCTCGTTTTGAAACCCTAAATTGGCCGATGAAAATAGAGGAAAAAACAAGCACTACAACAACAATGTACATATGGGGAGCCATTTCTTTAGAACTTTGCAATCACTGAGTCTTTTTTTATCATTTGGTAAAATTAATTCAATTTATTTTAGATAAAAAATGACGCTTTCAAAATTTTAATTTTTTTCAAATCAAGGGAACTGAATAAGTGGAAAGGAAAGGGCCTTGATTTGATCCCTACATGCTACTTTTACGAGGGATTTAAAAATCTCCATCCCTAATCTGTCCCGCACTCCGGATTAGTCTCATAATCGACTCAAAAAGTCAAAACTTGTAGGGATATTAAGGGGAGCCAACTCGCCTCAAAAAGGTAATTAGGGTTGGGTCAACTAAAAAAAAATAGTGCTTTCAAAGTTTTAATATCATTTAATATAAATATTTTATTTTTATTTCATATAATTTTCAAATAATAAACTATTAGGACCGATGAACATAATAATAATTGCGAATATAATTAAACTAAATACCTTAAAATAATAATTACGATGGATAGTTATTTTGTTGTGTGCAAATAACAACAAAATCTACTCATGCAAGTGCATATATTATCAATAAGTAATATAGGATGAGTAAATAGTATAAATAAATAGAGTAAATAGCCACACCAAAAAAATTTAGAGTAAATAGTATTATTAAAAGGGAAAAGTGTTTATCCTTTTAAATGACACAACTTATATATTTTCATTCTCTCAAATAGATGGGACCCACATCTTTTTTTTTCAACTCTCTCTCCTTATTTATCTATCTCTTTCTCTATTTTAAAATGACACAATTTTACATCCTTTAAAATGACACAACTTTACATCCTTTAAAATGACACACATTTTTTCCTTATTAAAATTGGCCTAACTCGATCCTTTAGACTGTTTGAATCGGGAATCGAACCATTAATTGGTTCAATTCAATCAATTAACTGATTATGCATACAACCCGGTCAAAAACTGTGCTAACCCGATACCGGTTTGTTAATTGAACCAAATTTTAAAAATTGTGACAAAATATTTTATTACAATTGTACTTATGTGACTTGTAAGAACCCGTACCGTTAATTTAGGAATTTAAATTAATTAAATGTAAAATTAGGAAATAATTTCATGATTTACCCTAATAATTATGGTAAGTGATTAATAATGTTGAAATTCGCTTTTCTGACGAAAAGTGCAGATATCGGTTCTGCCTCACGGTATAAATGCGTATCGATGAAGTATCCCGAAAAGTTATGAAAAGTGTGTATTGTAACACCCCGTATATATATCAGGTAATGTTATCATAATATCGTATTAAGTTGCGCTTAATTAAAATGCGGAATTACTTTTTCTTTTCAATTATGATGCCATTAACATTACCAATTTGCTTAATAATCAATTAAAAAAACATCGCCTGTATGTAATTGCAATAAAACAGCTAACTGAAATACCTCATAACATAGATAATATAAGTGTGGCTCTAGTCACGAAACTACAACAACGTAGACCGGACCATCTAACAGTTTATACAACTCCAAACTACAAGTATTAACAGAAAGTGTCATGGACAATCCCCATGCTCACTCAAATAAGGCAACATGCCCAACATCAGTCTCAACAACAACATATCATAAATAGCGGAAAACATAAACAGCATCAATATCCAGTCATGCTAACATAAGCAGTAAAACATAATCAGCTAAGCTCCGGCCTCCTGCCGCCTGAGGCATCAGTACCCATACTACCTGATCCTGAAATAAGCATTCCCCAAACGTGGGGTAAGATCTCTAATCTAGAAATCTCAGTAAGTCAGTGAGTCCTCAAGGATCTTCCACCCCAAGCTCACTTACATGTGCAATGTAAGTTCGAAAACAGTTTATCATTTATCATTTCTAAAACAATGCAATGCAGCAGATAATCATGCCATGTGTGTCAATACTAATCTACTGGCCAGAGACAGTGCATGTATACGTCTATCACCTACACACTGTGCAAGTACCACTTGCATTCATCCCGGTACACCGTCTTGTATGGCGCTACATACTCAGGCTTCCCGTCAAGATGAAACAACACATGCATATTAAAAGCCATTACATGTAAAGTTCAATCAACATATCAAATATCCAAAAGCATGTACACAACATGCATAAACCATACCCCCATGGGACATGGTGGAACCACAACATGGCTAAACCGAGGACACGAAAGCTTACCTTGCAAGCTAACTCCAAAAGCCAAGAGTCCACAGCTCAAAGTACAATCACAGCAGATTCGAAATCTGTTATGGACCAACAATACATCAACATCATGCACCACAAGCATACAATATTAAGACAACGCCTTTTCGTTACGTTTTACGTCTTAAGGCTCCATACCAAGCCATAAGTCCTTAATCACAACGATTCTGACTTAGTTCATTAATTACAGAAGTTCAACTTCATCAATCTAGGGTCCACAAACCCCCAATAGCCTACTGTACACACAACACAGCTACTGTTCTACGAAATCCCAGAATATCCGGATATTCCTCGGGACCATATCTGGATATGCAATATCCGGATATCTCACTGGACATATCCGGATATGCAATATCCGGATATCCTGAATCCCATATCCGGACATCTATTATCCGGATACTCAAAACCCATATCCGGATATCACATATCCGGATACTCATCGGGCACATATCCGGATATTTCACGACAGAATGCAGAAAATGCATTTCGTGAAGATATACTTCAAAGGTTGGGTTTTTACCGATTTAAAGCACCTAAACATGCATTTCTAGGTGTGTTCAACATTCCTCAACAACAAGTTATCATCTTTAAGCCTTAACATGCATCAAGATTTCATTTTTAAGCATTAAACTCATGATCAAAGGTTGGTATACATACCAAAGGCTTAAAACAGAGAAAGGAGATGCTCTTGGAGCTCAACACAGCCCCTCAAGTCTGACTCAAGGAAGATGCACGAAAATGGCTTCACAAAGGTTGGTTTTTCTCAACAAAGGTCACCACTTGGACCTCAAAATGTCATGACTATGGCTTTCAGCACCCAAACCACCCAAAACCATCACCCTCACCCCCACACAAAGGATGGAAACTCAGAATACACCCTCACACTTCCTCACTATGCATGTTTTTAAGTGTATACAAGCTCAAAGAGGGAAGAAATCAAGTAAAGGTGACAACTTGAGTTCAAAAATGGTGAAAGGAGGCAATGGAACAGTAAACCACTCTCAGCCCACCAAGTGCTTCACGTAGAAATTCTGGTATGCCTAGGGTTATGTGCTAAAATGCATATATATAGCCACTTAGCCATAAAACACACAATATTAACTTTAATTGCTACGCTTAGCATTTTCATCCCAAACTTTGGATTATGAAACTACATAATTTTCTAAGAATTATCATATCTTTTCCGTAATTTTCTGAGCATCTTTCCGGTACGCGCTTTTCCAAGCCAGTACCGGTTTCTAGCACCAGTTCTCATTATTTGGACTTGAAACTCGTTTTACAAGTCTTACATATTATTCTAGTAATTATGAGAACCCGATACCGGTTTTTTGATTGAACCAATTTTTAAAAATTGTGACAAAATATTTTATTACAATTGTACTTATGTGACTTGTAAGAACCTGTACCGTTAATTTAGGAATTTAAATTAATTAAATGTAAAATTAGGAAATAATTTCATAATTTACCCTAATAATTATGAGAAGGCTTAAATAATTATGGTAAGTGATTAATAATGTTGAAATTCGCTTTTCTGACGAAAAGTGCAGATATCGGTTCTGCCTCACAGTATAAATGCGTATCGATGAAGTATCCCGAAAAATTATGAAAAGTGTGTATATATTACTAGAATAATATATAGGACTTGTATGACAAGTTTGGAGTCAAAATAATGAGAACTGATGCCAGAACTGATACTGGCTACGTAAAAGCGCGTACCGGAAAAATACTGCGAAAAATAAAATAAAAATATCACAAATCTTAGAAAAATGATTAGGTTCAGAATCCTAAGTTTGGGATTAAAATGCTAAGCGTAGCTATTAGTGCTAATACAATGTGCTTAAAACTTAAATAACTATAAATGCTAAGTGGCACATGATCCTAGGTCATTTGTGAGCCCCTTCTACGTGAGAATTCTGGACTCTTAGCTGCTGAGTCTCTTCTTCACCATTTCTTGACCTCCATCTCCTTAGAAACTCTAAAGTGATCACCTTTGATCATTGTTTCTTCACAAAACACCATATATTGGGGTGTGTTAGCTTTGGGTGGTTTAAATGTGTGTCATTTCTGAGTCATAACCTCTGTTTGAGAGAGTGTGGGTGCTGACTTCGTAGGCTTGTGAGGAGGGAGTCTTTTTCTTGCATTTATGACCTCAAGAAGCCATCTTTGAGTGTGGAAGACCATTCTTGTGAGCTCATTTTCGTGGCTCTGTGTTGGCTGAACTTTTGCGTATCATAAGAAGCTCCAAGCCATTGCCTTTCTTCTGTTTTGGAAGCTTGGTATGCATTCTTTAACTTTGTTCATGAGTTTCTTGGTTAAAGATCAAGTCTTAGCATGTTTAGTGAGTTGTTTAAGTAGTTAACAACATCACTGACCTAAAGGGGTTTAAAGATGCTTTAACGTTTTAATGTGTTAAAAATAGAACCTTGGGAGTGATATATCGCGAAATGCAGAAACTGCATTCTGTCGCAAAATATTCGGATATGATATCCGGATATTGATATCCGGATATGGGGTTGGAGATATCCGGATATGGATATCCGGATATGATATTCGAATATGATATCCGGATATGGATATCCGGATATGATATTCG